TGCGCGTCATATGAAAACTTAGAAAATTATTTTAATTTGATATAAGTTTTGTAAAAAACATGTTTGACGTACGTATGTGCGCCTGGCGTCTGCATATTGAATAAATTTAATTTTTAGTTTAATTAAGGAATTGAAATTAAAGGGTAAAATGGAATTTGTGGGGTTACATTAAGTAATAAATTGGGTGCGCCAAGCATCTCCCTAGCATTTATTATGTAAAAATGAGAACAGATAGGGATGGACTCAGCCGGGTCAACCGGCCCATAATCGGCCCGACTCGGTACTCGGGTCTGTGAACGGTTTGGGCCACCCGGCCTGGTACTGTTACGGGGCGGTTCCCGGGTCTCCATATCATGAACCGGTCCGGCCGGTTCAGACCCGATCCGGGCCTCAACAGTCAGAATTAAAAAAAAAATAAACTAAAGCCAGGCAGCCAGCTCCTCCTAGCCGTTGGGAACACTAAACGGCTCTATAGGCGTTGGAGGGCTGGGAGGGGGTCCGGGGGGTCCGGGGTGGGGTGAGGTATAAAAAACTATAAATACTCATATTTTCTACACATCTTCTCCATCTCTCTACATATATTTATACAATTATTATATCTACTTATATACTCCCTCCGGTTCTAAATAAACTTCACACTTTGACTTCACAGAAATTAAGGAAATAAATTTGACTTTATTGTAGAGTACACTGTTGTGACACTGTTTGGCACTGTTTGACACTGTTTGGCACTGTTTTGAACTGTTTTGAATTGTTTTGATGTAGATAATTTGCCAAATAAGGAAGGGAGAAGAAGTGTGAAGTTTATTTTGGACCTACCCAAAATGGAAAGTGTGAAGTTTATTTAGGACCGAAGGGAGTATTAATTATCTACTTATAAATACATATATTATATTACTAAAATTTAATTACCTACTTAATATATACTTACTATCTACTTAATATATACTTCATATTTATTTAATATCTACTTATTATATTATTATTATTTACTTACATTTACATATTACATCTACTTAATATATACTTATATATATATTAAAGTATTAAGTATAAGTGTATTACTCATCTTATAGTAATATACGTATATATTATATACTATAAACATTACTCCGTATATTATATATTAGTTAAACAATTATTTTATATCTACTTATATACTTATTATCTACTTATAAATACATATATTAAGTGTGTGTGTGTGTGTATATATATATATATATATATATATATATATATATATATATATATATAAGTATTAAATATAGGTGTACTACTCATCTTATAGTAGTATACTTATATATTATATACTATAAACAATATATTATATATTAGTTACACTTTATTTAATAGTAATTAAATTCATCATATTACTTATACACTCACACTCCCATTAATTTAGTTTACACATTCATACATTCTTTATTAATATTAGTTAATTAGTGAATTGGTACATTTCTCATTTTCTTATTAGTTCATTGGTATATTTGTCATTAAACTATAAAAATTGTGAATTGTTAGTTGTTAGTGAATTGGTACATTTCTCAATTTTAGTTATAAAAAAATTGGTCGGTTGTTTTCATTAAAGTAGTTAGATTAAACAAAATTGAATTTTACTTCCAATTAATTCGAATTTTAATTTCAGAAAAATTGTTAGATTTTTTCATTAACATTTCATTAACAAAAAGTAGTTATTCAAAAACTAGTTCGAATTTAAAAACTTGTATTTAAATTAGTTAGATTTAAATAGTATTTAAAAAAACTAGATAGATTTGATAGTATTTAATTCGAATAGTATTAATAGTATTTAAAAAACTAGTTAGATTTGACTAGTATTTAAAAAGTAGTCATTTCAAAAACTAGTTAGATTTAAAAAATAGTATTTTAATAAAATAGGTTTAAATAAAAAATAAAATTTTTAACATTTCTTATTAGTTGCATTACTATTGTACTAATATTAACATATTTGTTAGAATTTAATATTTGTTACATTTTAAAGATGCAACGTGGTAGAGCTTCCGTAGATATAGGTAACCTCGACCGGAACCGAACCAAGGAGATTGCGAGGAATCATCCTAGTTCACGCAAAGGTAAAGGTAAAGGACGGGTCGGGTCTTCTTCTTAAACCCGAGATGATTTTGAAACGGACTACCACAAGAGAGATGTGGATGCAATGTCCGATGAGCAAGTACAACAACTATTGGCCCAACAAGATGGGTGGTTTTACCAGCAACATGACATTCCTGAGGTTGAAGATGAGCTCGAGGATGACGATGCGGAGGAGGATCTGCAGACAGCCGAGGGCGAGGGTGACGGCACCCCGGACGATGAGGAAGAGGTCGAGGCCGAGGACGAGGCTGGTTCATCCCAACCCGGCCGGTAAGAAATCTAAAACTATATCTGTAGTTATAGAAAATAATTTTGATAAGGTGAGAGACAAGAAAACCGAAAAATGGTACGCACATTGCAAACATTGCCCAAAAATGTATAGCTTGGGAATTTCCGGCGGATACGGCAGTTGCAAAAGGCATCTTCAGTCCGCTCACCCCGTGCAGCATGTGAAATAGACAAAAGCAAGGGGAAGCAAACTCAAATAACGAGGTTTGGAACTAGCCAACCCTTTGGTAATTTCTCCTATGATGATCAAAGACATTTGACTGGTATGTCTCACTTAATTGTAGAAGAAAATTTGCCTTTTATTTTTTCTGAAAGTCTTGCTTTAAAAGAATATGCTCAAGGTACTTTAAATCCTCAATTTTGAAACTATAGTCGCAAAACGATTAAAAAAGAAGTTATAAGGCAATATGTTTTGGAAAATGAAAAATTGCAACTATTTTTCACAAACTTTGATGAACGTGTTAGTATTTGTAGTGATATATGGGAGGATACTCATCATCATTTATATTATTTGGGTGTGACTGCACATTATATTGATGGTGATTGGGAAATGCATAAACTTGTTCTTGCTTTTCGTGAATTTAATGATCGACACACCGCTGATAATATTTATATTTTGCTTGAGCGTATTTTAATTGAGTACAATTTGATCGATAAGGTGTTTGCTATGGGTTTTGATAATGCTAGTAATAATATTGCTGTTATACCTAGATTGCGTGAATTGTGTGGTTCTTCTACTTTGATGGGTAGGTTTTTTCATCAGCGTTGTGCATGTCATATTTTAAATTTATGTGTAAAAGACAGGCTAGCCACGTTGGGAGATGCTATGGAGGTAGTGAATGGGGGATCAGACTTATTTGGGCTAGTAATCAATTAAAAATGCAATGTCGTCAATATTTGAGGGATAGACGTATCAAATATTGTGTTTTTCCTAAAGATTTAGTTTATCCGTTGGAATAGTACTTATAACTTAATATCTGTACTTATTAGATTTGAAGACTATTTTCCTGCTTTTTTAAAAGAATATGTTAACTATATTATAAACCCGATCAACATCGACACTATGGAAAAATTGTGAATGTTTTGGTGTTTTTTAATAATGCAACTCAAACTTTTAGTCATGTTTATACACCTACCGCAAACCAATTTTTTGTTGAAACTGTTAATCTCGCTGGCGCTTTTGTGACTTTTCCGATGCTCCTTACGTTAGTTATTTTTGTTCTTACATGAAAGATAAGTTTTTAAAACATTATTCACATATTTCGCATATATATGGTATTGCATTTATTCTTCATCCTTGTTTTAGACTTGATTCTTTGGGGCAATGTTTAGATTACTATTATGCTTCTTTTTTTTGGTCCATTTCCTATGTACGAGGATAAGCTCATAGACCCTAAACAAGAATTTCAAGAGGTTAGTAATTTATTATATCAATTATTTAACGAGTTTAATGCACAATATGGTAACACCCCCCCCCCCCCCCCCCCCCCCTCCCCCCTGACACGAACATCTTCTTCATCTAAAGGAAAAACACTTTTTAAATCTGCATTTTGCAATCTTATGAAAAAAAGTAAATCAACTCCTGTTAATGAACAAAGCTCAATTAACGAGCTTTTTTTGTATCTAACATTTCCTATTACCTATGAAGAAGTGGATGATTTTGACGTTCTAAAGTGGTCGAAGGAAAAAGAAAAAACGTTCCCGATTTTATCAAAGATGGCTAAGCAAGTGCTAGCAATGCCGGTATCAACAATTGCCGTGGAACAAGAATTTAGTGCGACCGGCAACGTACTAACGGATTATAGAACGAGATTGAGTGCGAACTCTCTTGAGACGCTTATTTGCTTCCACGATTGGTTGAAAGCGAAACGTAAAACTCAAGAAGTGTGCATCACCCTCACCCGCCACTTTATGGAGGAAACAACCGAAGCTGGCAGAGATTCCGATTGATTATTATTTAGGGGGTGTTTGGATTTGATTCTTAAAACTGCTTCTACTCCTTCAAGGAGCAGAAGCAGAAGTTGGAGTGTTTGGGTAAAAGTGCAGAAGTGATTCTGGTGCTTTAATTTACTCCTAGAATCAGTTTTTTTAGAAGTTGGGGGTGACCAGCTTCTGAAAACTGATTCTGATTCTACTTCTGCTTTAAAAAATAAGCAGAATCAAAATCAATTCCAAACACCCCTTAATAGAAAATGTATTTCATGTTTTAAATTTTTCTCAACTCTCAATTGTACTACATATTTCAAATAAATATACTTTAACTTTTTTATATCCAACAATTCTTGAATTAATTTGTAAAAAAAAAAATTACCCGAACAAGGCCCGACCCAGCCCGGCCTGTACCCGACCCGCTACCCGGCCAGTAGGTACCCAGGCTGGTTCCGAGCCTCAATTACCCAAAAAAAGCCCGGTCAGCCCCAGCCTGACTCCATCCCTTAGAACAGATAGTACATTATAAAAAAAACGCTATACATGCTCATCCGTTGTTACCAAACACATAAACACTACCATTTTTTCTTATAATACCTTATAAAACGTTGAACCTAAACACTACCATTCAGTGTTTTTTCTGTGCTTTCCCCAGTAAACGCTAAGCTCATCCATTGTTACCAAACACATAATATTGGCATTTTCATCAATTGAAAATGAAAGAGAGTCAAAAAACGCAGAGATGGGATTATGGGAAGAAGCTCAAGTGGGAATTTAATGTCCCTGTATACATCATTACATTGTGCTACTTTGTAGTTTGTACAAGAAAGTCTTAAACTAAGTTACATAGATGGATAGATAGAGAAGATGAATGTACAATGAGAATTCGACACCGTTTACTGCAAGGAGTTGTAAAACAAAATCAACACTACCGAGACTCCAATGATTATTGGAAATGCAGTTACCAAGTACAGAGCTCCAAATCCCTGCATCACCATACTAAACCGTCAATACTAAACAATTGCATCCAAAATCATAACCCTAATTGTGATATGGGCAGACTAATGACTAAACTAAAGGAGTAATTTAGGGGATTGAATGATGCGGTATCAGGGTAATTTGGGTTGAATGGCGTTCTTACTTAACCCTAATTGTCTGTCTTTACTAATTATAATGGCAATTGCTTGCAATAGAAACAAATCAAACAATAATGTAATTGGATGGATAAGTTGGAATTCAATAAAAAGAATATCCTTAGAAGTTTTCATTGGTCCAAAGTTGCATGTCAATAGGCAAATGATTGGATAGCGCAAAATGGCAGGGAAATGGGAAGAAAATAAATAGCAAAGGAAAATAGGGTAGTGTATTTATATTTGGTTTTACCTTGTAAAATACAAAGGAAAATCAATTTTGATTAAATATTATCTTCTTTGTCTTTCTATGTTCTTATGTAATTTTTATCTTTTATCTTTCTTATGATTTTTTTCTTTTTATCTTCTATCTTATGTTATTTTTATCTTATATTTAGGGATAATTTGAGTTTGCACCCCATTTTATTGTGCAAATTGGACTTTGCACCCCGTTTTTAAAAATCTTTGTTTTTGCACCCCAACCCCATTTGAAAAGACAAAAATGCCCCTCCATTAACAATTTTATTGGCCATCAACATATTCTTGATCGAGGACATTTTTGTCTTTTCATATGGGGTTAGGGTGCAAAAACAAAGATTTTTAAAAACATGGTGCAAAGTCCAATTTAGACAAAAAAGTGGGGTGCAAACTCAAATTATCCCTTAAATTTATCTTATTCATTTTATCTTTACTTTAGCGTTTTATTCTTCTCTATCTTTCTTCTCTTTTTGGCTTTGATATCATAGATTGATTCATGTTAGCCGACCCCAAAATCTTTAGGGAATAAGACTTGGATCTTGTTGTTGTATTATCTTTAGTACATTATTAGGGTTTCTTAGTATTTATATATCAAAAAGAAAAAAAGTTCGAACAACAACAACATCCAAGTCTTATTTCTTACTACAGTATTTATATAACAAAAATAAAAAAGTTCTAACAAATGGCTAAAATTAAATTATCGAGTTTGAACCATATTTTATTCTTTATGGGATTTCTTTTTCCTACATAACTTCCCAGTCTATTTTCCTCCATGTTTTCTTTCCTCGTATTTCCGGGTCCCAAACTGACCCTTAATGCTAGTGCTAATAGGTTACAGCTGCAATGGAATAGGAGGGGCTGACTAACCACAACTGGAGGCACTTCCGTGTTATCACCCTCCTCATCTGCTCCCTCTATTTCAGCTGCTGAATCCCAATCAAGTGTAAGCCTCTTAACAGCAGCCGCTTTTGGATCAACACCAGTGTCAGTGGCTCTTGCATACACAGATCTGCCCGGCTTCTGTTTCTTTGTAGCCTCATTCTGTCCGACAAAAACGTCACTAGTGTAAGCAATGCAAGTCGGTTTAAGCGAAAGTCATCAATGCCTATAGATAAAACATTCCAGAACAGAGGGATTAGTTTCTGAAAATCTGTTTTAGACTAGACAATTAGTTATAGGAGTTGTGAATGCATCCATGCTAGAGTTTCATTATAACCAACAAGTTACCTCAACCTTTCCATCAGAAAAGAGAGAGCTGAACCAAAAGGCATTTGGGATATAAATAATGAGTGATGACTGAATGCTTACAGAGTTACAGTCACATAAATACCTCCAAATTGGGCCATGAAGTCAACTCTTCCGCCAGCATCTGAAGAGCAAGGTGATCCTTAGGTATCTTGCCTTCATTTAACTTCAAAAGAGGGAAAAGAATCTAGTGAAAACACCACACATTATATAGAGAGAGATACAACTTTAACATTGACAGCTAAAATTCATATCTATTGAAGAAGATCTGTCCTGGTATCTGAAATTGGCAAGAATCCACATTAGGCGTTACAAAACATGCATTTACACGTTTGAACAGTTCCGTACTTCTTCATTTTGGCAATCTATATGCTCAATGGACTATTCCTTTTATTTCATACCTACACCATTAGATACAACTATGCAACTTATGAAGCCTCAGAAATTTAAAATGATTATCTGCTGGAGAAAGGAGTGAAAGATTATGAACTTATGATTGTAATTTGCTATCAATCATTCAATAAAAAAAATTGCCAACGAATGCACGGGCAAATCAAATATAAATGTTTCTCAAGTGTCAGGATTTGTATATTCACTTCAAGAAATCCCAAAAACCATGAATCTAAGCCGTTGCACTGATTGACAGAAAAATGGAGCCTGAAGAAAGCAAACTATGACTACGTATTAAGTTAAAATAATCATACAGAACAACAATGCATGTAAGCTAATCACCCATCTAGGGAGTTAGCTTCTCAAACACATTCAAATGCAATTAATTCAAATTATCTAAGATTCACGGAACACAGCTAATGGGGCACAGCTGGACACTGAGACACAAAATGTTTAAAAAGAAAAAGAAGCAGACACACCAGGGACACGGTACAATGAAATAAAAAATAGAAATAAAACATAACAACATTCTAAACATATTATGAGCTTATATCTAAATAAATGCCACAACTAACAAGCACTCAATTAATATAAATAAAAAGACCAATAAGTTCAAGTGACAATAAATTCTCAGCATATCGGTTAAATAGATGCCACATTGCATGTCTGCACATGTCTTTATGATCTGAGCTATGCTGTTACCACTAGCCACAGTTTGCAGGGGGCTTGAGTCCTGGCTCACCCAAACTCAGCATAAAACACTTTTACTTATGTGTAAAAATTTACTGTTTATACTTATCAATGAGTTGTTTTTCCGGCTCACCCTAAGTTTGGATTTTGGAGACGTCCTAGCTAGGGCGCTACACCAATTGCTATTGCAAAACCCAAAGTCTATTTCCCCAGAATATTATGCAGCCACCAAACCTTGGAATAACGGTTAGTATGCATGGCAGAGCAAGAGCAATAAACATACTTCTTCTAGAGCAGAAGCCAAGTCCTCTCTACTTGGAGCATCATCTTCATCAATCCCTAGTAGCCTCCGCCGCTCTACATCCCTGGGGTCTTCAATCATTATTGTCAACTTAACCTGCAACAAAATCATCAGAAATGATAATGCACCTAGACTAAGCAGTTGAATACATGAAAAAGACAGAAGCTTTTGAGATGGATAAAAAATATGCTTGTGTTCTTTCAAGCAATAACAATAGTAGTAATACTAGTAAAAATATATAAACAAAGTAAGCAGAGTTTCATGGCATTGAACACGCAAAGCAATCCAATTCAGCAATGAACATCAACCCCATAGTAAAACTCAAACATCCAATTCTTCTTCAAAACACTGAATATATACTAAACCACTAAGATTGGTCTAGATGGCCATCAATATATACAAGACAAATTGAGGCGATGAAGGTTAATACTTGATTGGATCAACCATTGCAGGATAGTAGACATGAAGAGGAAGATGAAGAGATAAATTACTAACACACCTCACTGAACATCATATCTCTATTCTTCCTGAGGAGTTCCAGAACCTAAACCCAGAAAGACCATTACAACACCATACTTGCAAATACTTCGGAGATGGCAAACAAAAAACAAAATGTAAGAAACAAAAATATAGTTAAAGATCTGAAGTGGGCAAGTACTCTTTTGATTTGGGAGACGTATTCAAGGACTTGGGGGTCTGGGTCTTCCAAAACCTCAGTATATGATTCATTCTCTTGGGTGGCAGTGAGGGTTGAGGAAGAAGTGCGGACTCCCCCCTCCCCATAAATAGGTCTTCCTACAGCGAGGCTACTTCTTCTCCTTCGACCCCGGCACGTTCTGCTGTTCCCGCTGCTTGTTAAGCTCGAAAGATGCAAGGATGAGAAGGCGGCGTTTCGGGAAGAGTGCTTTGCTCTGTGGGTAGAGTAGAATAGTGACGACGATGGGGTGAGTAGAAGTTGCAGAAGATGTGAGGTCATAGCTGATTGCAAACTCAGATCATGCTAGAGCACCTGAGTTCAAACGGGATGGAGAAGGGCCAAAAATTACATTTTTAATGGATCTCCCATTGAACACTCACTAATGGAGGGGGGTTGCTTTATGCACCCCCATTTTTACTTAATCTAACCGTGGCATGACAATTTTGACCTTTTAAATTATTTTGTTAAAATTAAGTTAAAAATAATATAGAGTTTCCGTAGGATAACAAGATCCGCCTAACAATTTTACAACTACTCTCCCTCCAATAACTTGCTGCCATGTGTCAAATAATTCTTTTTTTTTATTATAAAATGTTATAACTTTTCCAATTTTGCTCCTATTTTTAGAAAAATTATATCAAATTAAATAACTTTTTATGATATCTCATATGACACCAATATCATATATGTAAAAAATTTAAAAAAAAAAAGCATTTTGTCAGGTCTGATGAACTGCCGATAAATGTATATTTACTACGTAGTATTATTTAAATCTAGTCTAGTCTAATCTGATATAATTTGTTTGAACCTGTCTGGATCGAAATCAGTTCAATTTAAAACATTCTAAATATCATTCACATCCTAAATCTAGTCATGTAACACACACACACACACACACATATATATATATATATATATGATCGTAATGCAGAAACATCATGATGTTGATCGATTTTTAAAAGGTGGGACCCTCCACCTTTGAACTTAGTCAAACAAATAAAAAATGAAAATAAATAGTTTACTCAGATAGAAATATTACTTATTCAAATATATAATCCGATATAGAATTGCGCAAAGTTAAAAACAAAACATTTATATTTTTATAATATATACTCCCTCCGTCCCATTAGAAGGTTCCTACTTTTTGTTTGGACGTCCCGTTAGAAGGTTCCTATTTCCATTTTAGGAAACAATTAACAATCTTAAGTGACAAATTAAGCATTAAATATTAAAAATAATACATTTATAACATCACATTTATCAATACTAACTACATTATAATATATACCTATTAAAATTATTTCTCAAGATATACTCGAAGTATTTTATTTAATTATTGTCTAAATAACCATGCCGTTTTGCTATGGGAACCTTCCAACGGGACAGAGGTATACCGTACCAAACCACCCTTATAATGTCATCAAGCCAAATTTGTGCATCAACATAAGTTGTCATTTTATGCATATCATATAGTAATGTGAAATCAAAATGGAACTATAAAATATAGTTCGATCCGATCATTTTTCAATTTGAACTGTTTGTGCACACCCTTATTTCACACAACCATGTTGTTTATCTTTTTGCCATTTTCTTTTAATATACTATTTTGTCAATAAATTTTGAACACTTTTGACATTATATATATATACTTCTATTTACATTATTTCCATTATTTCCGGATTTTGTTGATATCAAAAGATTGAGATAAATTTTTTGACAAAAATGATATAAAAATCACAAACTATGGAGTGGTGTGACTATGTAAAAGTCAATTAAATACTCTCTATGTTAATAGTGAAAGTAGTGTGACATAGAATAAAATATTTAATAATTTATAAAACAACAAGAGAGAAAAATATTAGTCCCTCCGTTTTCTAATAATTGTCTCATATTCCATTTTGGGATATTTTTTAATTATTATGGATAATAATTATTGTAGATTTGTAGTCATAGTTGACACAAATTTTGGGATTTAATCAAACAAAAATCAAACAATAAATGTGGGGCATACAAAATTTTAGGATTTAACCAAACAATAAATATGGGGCATTGAAATTTGACATCAATTTAATCCAAATTTGAAATCCGGATAGGATTTGCAGTCCTAGGTCTAACCTATCAACGGCGGCCAAAGAATGCTGAAAAAAAAAGATAAGGAGTAAATTAAGGCTTCATTGCTTCAAGGACAAATATGTCCGTTTCACGTGGAATGTAGGCGCGCTTAGTACTTGATGTGGTGCGCCGAGAAGCCCCTAATTGCCCGCTAATGGAGTAATGGCAATTGGGATGCAGCCCGTGGGAGCGGGGGGAGTTGGGGCGGGTGGTGGGGTTAGGCCGGTATGAGGATGGGGAATTATTTTCTTCCCGCTTAAATATGGGGCAGGTGACGGGTTATGCATCATGCACTGTCCCCGCACCGTCTCCCATATATATACACCTATTAATAATTAATAATAATAATAACAATAATAATAATACTAATAATAAGGATTTTTACAAAAATATTACTAAAATAAAATTTATTTTACACAAATATGACTATTGATCACTACAATGTAGTGTCATAGTAATCTAAGTTTAAAAATTGAACATAATTTACTATAAGTTTAATACTCTAATCACTAGTCACATTTTTGTAAACAATCTTAATTTTAGTCATAAATATCTGATGGATAGTGTACCGGGGGTAGCTTATCTGAGGGGTTACTGCGGGGAGTAACTTAGAGAGAAGTCAGAGCAAATAAGTAAGAGAGAGAGTGAATTCGAATATATCAGTTATGTATTCAAGGCGTGGTTTACAATGGGGAAATGGGCTGCTATTTATAGTAGCAATAAATGCTAGATAGGGGCACGTGTCAATAATCTGGTGGTCGAGGGGTCACCTCAACTGGGGTGGCACTGACACTCGCATGTGGCCGCATTAAATGCGGTGGTTGGATGCGACGTTTGTACTTGGTACGTTGATCCAGCGCATGTGGAGAGGAGATCCTGTCGAGGAAGATGCCTTCGGCTGTAGATGACAGTTCGAAAGCTCTGCGTACCGGGGGCTCCAATTGCTGAGGGCTTGGTTTTCAAGCCTTCTTTTCCCATGATGTTGCTGAAACCAATTCTGGCACCGATAGCCTTCGGCCATGGGGCCGAAGGCATCCCTTCATGCATCGTGGGCTGCTTAGAGCTCCATTCTGTTGGGAATGGCCCGTTTTGGGCCTGTTGGGCCTGAATGTAATAGTGGAAGAATGTGGGTCGGGGGGTCCCTGGGCCATATACTCCATCAGGAGTCCCTCACTCCTTTTGCCGAAAGGTACTTGAGGGAAAAGGAGTAATTGCGTTAGTCCTTTGATGCTGGCGTTTTGCTTTGTAGTTTGTGGAGTTTGTGAGGAGTTCTTCGTCTGCATGTTCTGCCGAGGGCAGTTCCTCAATCCCCACATTTTGGGATCTGAAGGATTATGTGATTTTGCATATTTGTGAATTTCCCGAAGGGGTCTACCAGTCCCCCACTTCTCGAGGCACATGTGATGTGGTGAAGAGGAGTGTAGCAGTGCTTGTCTTCAGTATGGGGCCGAGGGCTGACTATTTTCGTTTCATTTTAGGGGGTGCCTCATTAAAAACTTCATTATAAAAATCCTGTGGGAAAAAATTCTAATGAGGGAAAAAGAGTGCACCGAATTCCCCTAATGATGAATCGAAAAGGTTAACCCTTGGTCTGAGTATAATGCCAATGCTGACGGCTGCCCTTGATTTGGGGGATTGCTTGTTGATTTTCCGGAGGCATCCTTTTGATGTCCTGGTGATACCGAGGGAAGTCCCTCTGTTTTGGGGGCTGAAGGTGTGTTGTCATAGGTGATAGTTCATGTGTTGCCGAGGGGGTTCCTTAGCTCTTGATAAGTTAGAGGCTGAGGGGTCCCGAGGGGTTCCGTTATTTTATGCTGGAGGCTACCACTGATGAGGGGCCTGACGGTGTGGCCCTGGGGGGTTTGCACAGAATGGCCCCCGGGGATTCCCTGGTTCCCACCATGTTGAGGGCTAAGGGGTCCTGAGGGGTTTTCCCATTGTGAATCCGTGGGCTCCCCTTGATGGAGTAGTCTGAAGGAGTTATCCCGGAGGCATGCATAGTGTTGTCTGAGGGGTGACAGTTGATGGCGTTTCTGCATCCTCAAAATATAGCTGTTGTAATATGACCGTTGGAGAAGGCGTCCACGTGGCGTGTTCCCGTTGGCTGTCCGCGGGCGGGGTCACTAGTTGGCCGAAGCGGCGGTGTGTAATGATGATTTTCCTCTCGTGGGCCCAGTTTTTGGCCCAAGCCCGGATCGGGGGGCCTATAAATACCCCATGGCCAGGGCCATTCCGCCTGCGCGATTTGTTGTTTAGCGAAGCTCTAGCAAAAAATTTCTAGAGAGAGAAAGTCCCTTTCGATCAAATCCTACTTTCCGAGGTTAGTTCTTGCTCCGTTCTTCACTCCGCTAGTATACTTTGCTTTTCGGCCTTAGATTAAGTGTTAGAGCCTTAGGGAGCCCTCTGCTTATGAACCTTCCACCTCTAGTTTTAAGGATGTCGTTGCAAAGTGACTCCCAAGATATCTCGAGGGAGCCTTCGGCTGAAATAGAGAGCATCTCCAGCGTGGAGTCTTCGAGCTACGAGTCCTCGGCTAACAACGATCTGGCAGCAGCTGAGGAGGTACAGAACAACCTTCGGGCCGAAATGGAGGCCGAAGACTTCGAGCAAGTGAATGAAGACGAGGAGCTGACCCTCGCCGTCCAAGTTGCTGAGGAGGAGGAGGAGCAAAAGGAGAGGATGAAGATTACCATTGCTGTTATGCCCCCTCCGCAACGATGCTGAGGCCGGAAACTCTAGGCCCCTTGATCCGGAACCTCTCAATGTAGCTCCGGGAAAGAAGAAGAAGAAGAAGACGGGAGCCCCCAAGAAGAAGGGGAGTGTTGTTGATCTGGGGAAACCAGTGGGGATACCCGAAGGGTACTCGTGGTTAAACACTGCTGCCATGTCAATAAGCTCGAGGACTGACCAGGCTGAATGCTACGTGACGTAGCTGCATTTGGGGCCCTCAGCGACGGTGGTAGAGCCGGGGCCAGATGATGTGCTATCTCGGGATCCCGAGGGATGTTTTTCCGTCCACGTCCTCTCCGTTTCCATGGGCCTTCGATTCCCCTACATCCCTTCCTCCTCGAGTACCTCCGGTTTGTGGGCCTAGCCCCCTGCCAGTTGACCCCAAACAGCCATTCATACATCGTTGGCTTTCTGAGCCTCTGTCGGTCCTGGGGGGCAGCTCCGAGCCTTGATCTTTTCTTTCAGAGTTTTTCAACCTCTGTCGGGGGGGTCACGCGAATGCCGAAGGCTTCGCGAATTTGCAACAGATTGTCAAGTGGAGGCTGTTCACTG